ACTCATATTAATTTATCTTAATATTGAGTGATTTTTATTAGTATTTCTAAGGTTCTGGATTCATTCTCGAAAAAAGCACCTATTTGTATCATATGAATAAGTTTAGCTTCCAGCCTATGTTTGTTAAGACACTTTGTTTATGTACTGTGCAAGATTTATATTTTTATTAATGTATTTATCATCAATTTAAAATATTGTTAGAATTCACAAATCAGAGCGATGTTTTATCCGATCTATTGTATAAAACCTTACAGAAAATTGTATCCTTATAATACTGTTGTTAAGATTACCAGTGTTCCTGAAGAGAATAAAGTTTTCAGGGTTCTACAGAGAACGGAATAAGGTCAGGGTTGCCATTGTGCAAGTGATATCAGTACCCTTGGCACGATTCGAATAGTTGAATTTCATCTCGAAACGTGGCATCGATGTATAAGGTTTTTAATAAATAAATAAATACTAGCAAACCAGTGAACCAAATGTTCACCAAAACCTGATTTCTCGAAAACCGGAAGTGCTACGTTACTCAAATCCGGTTTGTAGTCTTATCAGACTATTCTTAACTTATAACTTAAATATTCTCTTTATCTATCTGTTACGATTTGGCCGCTGAAACAGCACCACAGACGGACGGACTTGTCTAATAGATAAGAGATACAAACGATTTTTTTTAAATTGTTACACATTTAAGTTATTTTAGCAGTGTTGTAAATATTAACAATATACACAACAACTTTCCTGGATTCAAGGTTTTGTTTGTATTGCCCATAGTGCAAAGTCAGCTTTGTTTCCCAAATTTGGACTGTAAGATGTTCTTTGCAACATTATCGGTTTTAAACGTGATATCTTCTCGCTCGTTTCACTCTTGTCACAGTCGTCGTCGTGATTACGATGAGGCATGTGGGGAGTGGGCAGATGTAGCTCGCCTTACGATTTCTTATTAGTGATATTAGGAAACTGTAAAGAAAAAAAATGCTAAATCTACAGAACTTCCAGCATGGGCAATATTAGATGATAGTGTATATACTGTTCATCTTGTTCCAGCTTTGTTTTCAACAATTCAAGGGGGGTAATATTCAAAATCTTTTATTATTTATTCGTGAGAAAGCTATATCAGGCACTCCTAATATTAGGGGTACTAATCAATTTCCAAATCCACTAATTATAATTGGTATAACTATAAAAAATCATAATTAATGCATGAGCTGTAACAATATTTATATAAATTTGATCATCTCCAATTAAGGATCCGGGTAAGTAAATTAGATTTATATCTAAGCCTTATTTTGATTTAATTTCGAAACTTCGTCTTAGACCAGCTTGAACAATAGCGAGCAGGGAGGTGTAATAGCATTCTAAAGTAAATTGCCCAACACTTTATTATTTTCATTAGCGGTAAAACTCAGAATAATGACCAACGCGTGCCTTATCCCTCTTTGAGTAAAGGGCGTTTGCAGAAGGGGCATCAACTTTATGAGGGAGATTTGTTGGTGCCAATGTTAATTAAGTTAATAAAATCGCCTTTCAGTATGTATTCATATCTATTTTTTTAAGATTTTTAATCAGCGGTTTTTTAATTTATGGTAAAACTTTATGGTTAAACTTTATGGTAAATAGCAACATTGGACTATCAGTGACTGCATGTTATGAATTGATCACGCGTACCGAATAAACGGTCGAGACAGTAAAATAATTGTCGGCCGAGACATAGCTGTTTACACATGTTTTAAAATTGCGCTCGGTCCACCACTCGGCGCAATGAATAATGCCTTGATCATGAACTTGATGGAATTCAAAAAGTTATATAACAGCGCTCAGCCGGGCACTCGGCGCTACGTTTATACGTACCGAGTACTTGGCCGAGAGTACTATCTCACTTGCTTGCTCAGTATGTGTTATCAAGGCAGTATGTACCCGCCCAAATTACCAAATACAGACTTTCCAAAGTTTTTTTGTATTAAAAAAATATACTCCTAATTATTAATTATTTCTAGAAAATCTAAAATGCAAAATTGAAATACATTAGAGAGTTTAGTCCTGATTAACTCGCTAAAATATTGGCTCAAATTTCTCAGCGAACTCAATGAAATCTTCAATTAATTTAATCTTACTTCAAGTCAGTAAGCTGAAAATAATTTGATTATTATACTGAAATGAAGCAAATAACATTATTTCAATATTTGAGTGCTACTGCGAGTGATTAAATACGAGTGTGTCTCAGTACGCACTCGTATTAGGCTCGCTTATATAAAGTTAAAAATCTATATTGCTTTTTGACCATATTTATATTGACTAAAATCAAATTTGGAAATTAACTGACTTAGTACCTACTCTACTGTTCTACTAATCTAATAATTATCACTAATAGTCTTATGGTGGCCATACACACTACGAGAAATCGTTACGGTCAGACTGTACAGTTCGAACGGTACAGTTTATCGTACACGGCATATAAGTCCTACACGCTACGAGAAAGAGTTACGATCAGACGGTACAGTAAACAGTGCCGACGGACCTTCGACGGACGACGTTTTACAGTTGTTGGATTAATATTCGCCCTGAAGGAAAATAATAAATAAAAAATAATAATAAATAAATATTTCCAACACACACCAATTAGCCTAGCCCCAAAGTAAGCACTAATAAGGCTTGTGTTATGGGATGCTAGGGTAACGGATAGAACACATATATAAGTATATTCATATAGAAAAATATTAAACATCCATGACTGGAGTACAAATGCTCATGTTCATCACACAAACATCTGCCCCCACCGAACCCGGGACCTCTCGAGTCGGCGACACCATGAAACCCGGCGTACAAACCACTCGGCCACGGAGGTCGTCAAAAGTAATAAAGTTAAAAAAAATAAAGTTAAGCAAAAAAATCGTAGCATCTGGTGCAAAGACCGCCGAACGTTTTATGTCCGGGTTGTGATACTCTTTGTCTTTAGTATTCCAAAGACAAGGTTCACTGCGATATAACTCAATAAATTCTTCTAACCATTCGCGATTAGTTTGAGACGCCATGACGCGTGCGTCGTCTTCCCGAGCTGCAACAGACTACAAAACCGAACACGAAAACTGAAAGAGCGCATACACGTTACGATCAGTCGGCACAGTTCATCCGATTCCAATTAATCAATTGGAATTTTCGAATTGCTCCGTTCGACTGCACAGTCTTAAAAAATCGTAGGAAACTGTGCAGTTTTATAACATATACGCTACGATTTATCGGTACCGTTCGAACTGTACACTCTAATCGTAACGATTTCTCGTAGTGTGTATGACCACATTTAGATTAAAACAACAAGAGAAACTTAAAATTGTTTTAGTAAAAATAGTGCGAACAGTTAGAAACAGTAAACTTACTACACCCCCATACAATAATGTTGATTCTGCCACTACGTGGGCCAATGTGCATCGGTGTGTGCTAATACGATCGCAGATCGAACGCGCTACTCACTTGTACCATCGGGCTTTGAGGCTCTCTTGCTACCCTGTAAAAATGTTTATACCTAGCTGATACATTCTTTTGTTACAAACTCGCAAGTAATCAATATCTGCCCAGGCTGTTACCTATCAAAATAACTTAGTACACTTAAGAAGGTGAAGTAGAGATATACTCACGAGTAATACTTTCCGAGTTTTCTCCGAGATTTATGTTAAAAACTTGGGCCATTTTTCATTTTTTTCCTTTCTCGAGCGCTCGTACTGTTCTGTGTGAGCGATTATCATTTTCATATTTTCTTTAAGCTAAATATTTTTTGCTTTGTTTTAATTTTATTTTCAAATATGTAGTAAACCTATGCAAAAAAATGTTTTTCAGGGGTCACTAAATATTGTTTTGGGGAATTGGATTAATCACTCTCACTCTTAGCTTTTCAGTGCCTATCGGCAGACAAGGATAGTGACATTCGGAATAAATGATCGATGCAATCTTCTCACTATTGTTTCCGTTCGATATTTTAGACCTAAACGATTTTTTCTTTTATTAAAATATTTACTACACTCACACCAATCAGCCTAGCCCCAAAGTAAGCACTGTAAGGCTTGTGTTATGGGTTACTAGATTACGGATAGAATAGGTACCTACATATATTTGTTGCAAGTATATTCATATGGAAATTATATAAATCATCCATGACTAAGGTACAAATGCTCGTATTCATTAAACTAACATTTGCCCCCACTGGAACTCCAACTCGGGATCGCACGAGTACGCGACACCTTGAAGCTCGGCGAATAAACTACTCGGCCATGGAGGTCGTCAGAATGTGTTGTCATTGAGGTCTATGTAAGATTTATAAATTGAAAGGAATTTACTAGTAAAGAAGTCGACAGTAAAATAATACTACTTTTTCGTGGTGTTGTGTTTCTGTTTCTGAGTAAGGTTCCAGGGCTCCGCGGGGTAGGAGTTTGGGTTCAGACCCACAAGATGAGGATGGCTGGAGCGGCACACCTTCCGCCGCATCATCTATCTTCGTGATTGGACTCCACTTACACTTAACATCAGATGGAGTGCGGTATTAGGGGTGATGACGGGGTACAGTAAACGAAATTCTATTTAGTCCGTCAGTTAGATGATCAAAAACTAATGGACACGTATTTTTTCTTTGGGCAATCAACCAAAAAATGACAAAGTTATAGCGCGTCAAAATTTGAGAGTAGGGGCTCGTGACGTCACTTTTTAGTAAATATTCGCTTAAAAGTGTACTCGAACGTGACGTCATGCGACTTTTCCAATCAATATATCTCTGCAATGTTTATATTATGTGAAAAAAGAAAAAATACGTGTCCAATATTTTTTGATAATCTACCTGATAAACGAAGAAAAAAAAATTAGTCATCATCCCTATTGTTGCGCTTCGTATAAAAAAAAACACAATTTTTTCCTACTATTACAAGTCAACTATGTTAGAGTGAGTTGTCAGTTGTCAAGCTAGATTAAAACTAGCGCCGTCGATTTCGAGCGATGCTCTAACAGTAAAAAAATCTTAATAACTTTTTTCTTTAGATTTAATAACAGCAAAAGGTCCGGAATAGAGTAAAAGAAAAAAAGCATAGTGGGCGTAACAATTTATTCGATTAATCGTGTATTTTCCCTTAATAACAATAAATAATTCGACTAGGCAACACCTTCGTTGTACGCTTACATTCTTAATGGCAAAGCTTTAATTCTTATAACTACAAGTCACTGATTAACATAACGTATTTTGCGTTTTGGTATGCGTTACATTATTTTTGGTGGCAATATTGCTAAAGTTATTTGGAAGTTCTGTTTTTAAATCCTGAATTGCATTTTGAAGTCAATTCCTTCTTATATCCAGTCCAGTTTCTCAAAATTTCATTAGCCTATATGCTTTTTCTCGGTTCCTCAGATTGTTGTATAATAAATTTTATTGTTTAATCCTAGAGGCATGTAGTAACTTCGCATTTCCTCAAGTCTGGAACGTTTAGTGTAAAATGTCTATTGCAATTACAATTTAAGGTACCGCTTATTTCGTTTTTAGCAATGCAAACATTGGGCGATCTAAATTTTTCTTCTTCTTTGGATTTTTTTATGTTTCTTGAGGTTGATGACATTTTTGGAGCATAAATAGTACTAATATCGTTAAAAACTGTATTGTAATTGTCTACGCAGGGGGTTTTACTGTAAATGTTGTAAGAATTTTGTAAATCGTTCGGTTTGTTAAACCATTCGTTGCCGAAATGCTCGTGGTCTGTGTTGAATACGATCTGTGAATAGTTGATGGGCTCAGATTGGAGATCAGTGTCCGAACTGTGGACTTCGTTGGCGTACCGTTGGGACATCCAGACGTATCTAGCCATGGGCTCCTCAGGGCCCCAAAGTCTCGAGGAGCTGAATGCTGCAGCAATTTTCTGGAAAAAATATTTGACAGGTGTTAAAAACTGACAGTAGACCTAGGATGAAAAAAAAAACATTATATTGTTTATCATTGAATCAAGTATTTTATGTCTTAAGACAATTTAACTGAAAAATATTAACTTAACCAAGGTTTTGAGGCTGGATTCGTAGCAACACTATTTGCTAACCGATCAACGTATATGGAATAATTTGTTAAATATTTTCGTGGCATCTTTTCACTATTGGAAACCAAATAATATTTTGAAATAAAGGTAACAGAACTCAATGAAGAACCATTTAGTAAAATTATGATATACATTTTTACTTAAGAGGATTCTTTTTTAGGTTGCAAAAGTTGAGATTATTAATGTGTCTGCCTTAACTGTACAGAAAAACTTGTTGAAAGATACAAAGAACATATTCATATTCTTTATAAGTTTATAAGAAATAAATTACTCACAGACACTAAATTGAACTGCTCCTCCTTAGCCACAGCAACGGCTGCCATCAGCACCATCATAATGAGTATACCCACGAAGACTCCCACCAACGGCCACAAGGTCAGACCCTGGCTCCAGCTCGCCCTGATCAAAGTCCGGAGCCACCAGCCCGTTACGCCTATGATCAGGATGGGAATCGTCCACCAGCTTACCGCCCAGAAGCAAGGCAGTTTGTTGCCAGTCAAGAACTCTATGTCTACTGAGAGGTAGAACCATCCTGAAATAGTAAGAATGTGTTTTATGATTATTGAATTGGTAATGTGCTTTTGTAGTGTTACATAACAAGACTGGATATTCTGTTTCAATTAGAGCATTACTCTAGGGAGGTAACCTCCTTACAAAAGGCTTACTGCTGGCGCACTAGCCTTCCCTATGAATGGAATAGAGAGAATGTGACATGACCCGCTACAAGGACCCTGTTCGAATTGGTGCGTCAGTAGAAGTAGCTGGGACCAACGATTAAACGAGCTTTTCGAACGCATATATGAACTCCAGATAATGAAGTTTTGGTCAACCATACTATGACTGCAACAGCAAAAATTATAGAAAATAAAAGTAATCTTTGTTAAATAACATAAATTCATTATAGACTTCTAAAGTTTGCGTCAATATTTAGCTGCGAGGGTATTGATCTATATATTGAATATGAGTTCTCTGGTGATGCTATTGATAATAATCTCATAATAATTCTCAAATACGGCAGACTCTTTTTCAAAGTCATAAGTTTACCTTTTTTTTCCTTACCATATATGAATGCGAAACCGACAACTTCTACAGTAGTTGTAAAAACTGCTAACACTGGCACTATTAGCTCATCTAAGATAGTGACTATTTCTAAACTCCTTGCCAGCACAGCGACACTGAATGCCGTGCCTATAGCCGACAGAGCTGCAGCATAGAAGCGCCAGTTGTCTCCAAAAAGACGATGAAGCTTGTCGTATACTGGGAAGAGCAAGGTTAGCTGGAATTTCACATTAAACTGTTTGAATTGACAATACTTTACATTGGTTACCCCCTTTCTCATTCCACAAAGGGACACTTGCATCAACATTCTTAAATTAAAGCTAGTCAAGATTTGATTTAAGAATGTTTGTGTGCATTTCACCAGAAGCGGAGCTGTGTCAATAGGCAAGTGTATTCAATGAAACAGTGCGATGATGATAGTGATGTTTATTTTGGGCAAAGTCTACGCAGCTCCGCTTTTGTGGAAATGTAGCCTTACTCAGTTAAGTCTTGTACTTGGTCTTTTCCAACTATTTGAATTCAAAACAGTTGGAATGAGATAAAGACAAGATTTTGTTTTGATCTTATTTTAAGAAATGTGCCTTAGGGCCCTTGTTAACGAGACCATTTCTACCCGGTAACTATCCCGGTCGGTGCCATGTCCCATTACTAGCTGATAATCGAATGTAGAAACGGTTTAAAACCGTGCCTAGACCCGGGTAGAAATCGTCTTGTTTAGAAGCGCTCTTAGATAAGCCGGCAGTGTTTTGTCTCAGTTCTGCGAACTAAATTTACATTTACTTGAGTACAGTGGTAAAGTTTGATATGACGATTACTTTGTGTGCCTAATGGCCTAAAATAATAAAATGAATGCATGTACTAACCAATGTTATAACACCAGAAATGAAAACTATTGCAAAAGCGATGAGCGGCCACTCTTTCGTCCTCTTCTCTGACACACTGGATTGGTAGATCAAGACAAGGATAGCTACAAAGCTGGTGTCCTTTATTGTAGTGCCACCTATGGACTCCCAAATTAATACCCATATCCAACTAGAGAGAAGATTGATTGTAATGATTGACATTGAGGTCCTGAAAGCATAAATATATTGTTTTAAACTTTCATGATCACTAACATTTAAGTAATTTATGTTATTTACGGGATTGTTACCATGTACATTGTTTTTAGCGAGTTTCCGATATTTCACTGCGGGCACTATTGCAAGCGCCAGTTGTCTCCAAAAAGATGATGAAGCTACTCCGTGATGATGGCGCTTGCAACAGTGCCGAAATATCGGAAACGCGCTAAAACAAGGTACAAGGTGACAATCCCGTAATTAACATAAATTACTGAAAGTATAATTTACTGATAATAATAATGACCATCGGCTTAACGTGCCTTCCGAAGTAGTAGTAAGTACGGAGGAGCTCGATATTATAAATTTTTGGTCACCCATACAATGACCGACCACCGCGAAAGTTGCTTAACGATCGCAGCCGAACGCGCTAACCACTTGGGCCATCGAGCATTTTCCGAGTGCTTTATATAAAGGGCACAAATTACCACTACCCACCTAATGTTAAGTGTAATCCAGTCACAAAAATAACAGGTGCGGCAGAAAAGTGTGCCATGATCCAATCATCATCATATTGGAGCCCAGAAAGTTAAGTACAACCGCACATCTTGTGGCGACCACTAAACTCGACCAAAAGACATTCAGACGAGTTCTTTCATATATTTCAATACAGTGTTTGCGTAAACTAAGCGTTCGAGTGGCCACGTTCGAGCCACAAGCGGCAGCAGACGCCCGAGTTCCCTACTTGTAGCCGCGTTCGAGCCACAAGCGGCGGTAGTCGCCCGAGCTCGCTACTTGTGGCCGCGTTCGAGCCACAAGCGGCGGCAGTCACCCGAGCTCGCTACTTTTGGCCTCGTTTTGTCGCTCGCATTGCGCGCACACTCGGCCACAGTACAATGATGAATTCTATGTCGTTCGTTTCGTTTTCTACGTCTCCATAGTGTTTCCATTCCCCATACGCGTTCGACCGCTGCTGCCAGATCTCGATGGAAATCGGAATTTAAAAAAATATTAAGCCACTAGCGGCTGCCCCTGGTGGCTCCGTCTAGTGGCTCGACTGAGCCACTAGTGTTCGCGTTTAGTGGCTCAAATTGACTAACAGAAACAACACCACCATTAAAATAACGTAAAAAACATTTTTTTTTCAATAAAAGTAAATTTAGCTTATTGTTAAATTAAAAAAAAAGAAGCCTTAAACTTACCACCGAACATCCGAATGTCTATAAATAGTGCCTCCTCCACTTATAAGAAATCCGCTCAATAGTTGCGTGGACATCAACGCCTGTACCAAGGTGCTGTACCAAATATAAGGCTGGGATATAGGCATCCAATGCTCGCATGATTCGAACAACGAATTCAACGATTCCGCGTTAGAAACGAATGTACACAGCACCACGGCGATGATCACAATCAGAGGTGCTAACACGTTCAGGGAAGTTTTCAAAGATTTCCGAAGTCGGTACAATCTGTAATAAATTTTGTTTGTCCTGAAATTTCTTTTCTAAACCATGCTAATTAATAAGCAAGCAGTATTTGGGCTTAGACAAGAAATAAACGATATCGCTAAAGAGTTGCCAAAGTTAGATATCCATTTTCAAAGATATTCTGAGTTTATGAAACTGCTGACGCCCTTTAGCCACTTATGCTTGTAGTTGGTGCTTTCTTTTTTTATGCTGTTTTTATGTATTTATGTGCCTGCTTATTTTGTTTGTGTGTTTTTCACGCATGCTGTGGCTACCTTAATTTTAAGTGCAGGAAGCTAAAATCAATTTGAGCTTTGTTTGTACCAAGAACTGCTGTAACTTATGTTGGTGGCCCTTATTATAAATAAATAAATAAAATATTGCACTCGGCACAGGCATCAGAAGGATCCTGCCTCATTTTTGTGTTGGCGTTTTCCTAATAAAATGTTCTTTAGACTAATTACGGCTTCTTGGCACTTTTTAACTGACGAAAAACACGGAGAAGGACCTCATGTCGACGAGAGTATTTTTTTATATATGAACTTTCGAACGCATAGCTTTGTATAGACTGGTCCGATTTTGGTAATTCTTTTTATTTCCAACTTATATTCAGCCAAATGTGACGACATTAAGGTAATGTTAGGGACCGAAAATGTAGCACGCTTTCTGGTCAACGTTTCATTTGGTACTGTCAATTTACATTTTTATAAAAGGGTGACGTTTAAGGTTTATTCTAACTTCGAACTAGCATTTGGATATATATATTGGCCGAAAGAGGATGGTAGCGGTGTTGGTTGCCAACATGCGTCTATATTAGTAATGTCTAAAGATATTTTTTATTCTAAAGATGCACCTTTAATCTGCCAAGGGTATATGTCTATCTACTGTGCGGGTAATGCTCTGTATTCTCTATAGCTGTCTTAGCAAAATAAATAATGCAAAGTTGAACTCTGGAATTATTAATATTGGCCAAAATAACATTACATTTTCATGGCAAAGCAAATTGCCAAACCCATCTGAGGTATGATGTAAGTGAATTCCAGACACAGAAAAGAAAATGTACCATTTCAGCCATTCTCATCCTGCCGCCTGACCCTGATCGCCTAGCCCGTGTAAAAAGTCTAAAAATATGCGAAGCCATGAAATTACTAAAACGCTGAAAGTCGAATCATTCAATTACAGTAGAATTAACATATTTAATTAAGCAGTACATTTTCCAGTAAAAAATATAGGACAAGCGCCTATTAAGGATAATTAACGACAATTTAATGAACAAAAACTCCAATTATTTTCAAACTAGTTATTTAGTGTACATTCAACTGTGAGCTACTAGTTAAAATAAAGTTTGAGTTCGTTATAATTAATGTTTTATTTTTACATTTTCATAGGCAACTCTAATGTTACTCCTCATTCGGTACTTATGAATTTTATTGGTCCATGCTATTAGCTATTCATACTCCAACAATATTTTAAGGAAATTTTTATTTATTTTTACTTTTTTTGCTTATGCTTGTAAGCCCAATTTTTTAAATATGTAAGATTGATCTCTGATCTAACTAATCATCACTCTTAATTTCATACGCTTATTTGCTTAGTGCATTGAATTTGACGTCAGTTTGTTTGTTCAATTAAGCATTTTACAAGTTTTTTCGAACAAATCTAAAAAAAAATAAGTACAAAATAACAGATCACAAAAAATCGTACCTATGACAATAGATAACATTACAACCACTTTATTTTTGTTATGGAAATCGAAACAACGACGGTACCACAAACATCAGGTCCCCAAACAATTTCAAAACTTATTATTTTAATTTGATTCGGCAGGGAATCGAACCCGCAAGAAATAATCAAAACAATAATTGGTGTACATTGAAACCACCGACCGGAAATATTTGAAGTACAAAAAAAAATATTTCAATATTATAAATGTAAACATAAGTAGCATAAAACAAACTTTGATGAAACTTAGCAGGCAACTATTGATAACCTAGATTAACAGATTAAGGATAAGATATATAGGTATTTTTTCTAAAAAAGGGTTTCTCTTTTTATTGCTATCAAAAACTATTTGAAACATTTACCTACTGTTACACTGTTATCTTGAGCTTGTATTGATATACGACTAATATGTAAATAATATATGAACAAATTCTGAATTCTAAATTCAACACGGGAAGAATAGCCGGTAAAGTCTACTTCGTACGTCATAAAAACTAATAGAGAAAAATATACTCACAACATTGGTACGAAAAACCATAAAACAAATATCAAAATACCCATTATCCCTAGGTATTGCGGATAGTCGGTGAACGGCGCCAAAAATGTTGTACTAAAACAGAAAAACGAAATAGCAAAACATTTTTAAACTAAAAATTACTTTCGCATGGGAAGATATTCGTACTTTTTTTTCAGCATGCACGCATTCATAACTAAAGAGGCTTAAATAAATAATAAGTATTTCCAACACTCACACCAATTAGCCTAGCCCCAAAGTTAGCACTGTAAGGCTTGTGTTATGGGATACTAGGGTAACGCATAGAATATATATACTGATACATATATAAGTATATTTATTTAGAAATACATATAAAAACATCCATGACCCGAGTACAAATTGCCCGTATTCATCACACAAACATCTGCCCCTACTGGGACTCGAACACGACCTCTCGAGTAAGCGACACCTGAAACCCAGCGTTCGTACCACTCGGCCACGGATGTCGTCAAATAGATATAATAATATTTTTGTTTTAAATAAATAAAGTGGTAAGTGCATTTAGACTGCGATTTTGGAAGTAAAGCAACTTTTTCATTGGCCGCTTATAGGATAGGTGATCAACAATTTAGTAACTGAAGCTCCTCCATGCGGCTGTGCCAATGAAAACACAGTAAGGGACGTCTTTTCGGAATCTAGACTTTTACTACCCTTTTAAACACAGTAAGTGTCCACAATATGCACAGACCTTTTTTTTATTCATGCCCAATCATAGGGATACCAGAAAACTTAGTTAATACACGAACTAAACCGCAATAAACAAATCAAAAAAATAATAGGAGCTGATCACCAGCCCTAAACACATAAGGCACACGTACTTACTTTGTGTCTGGATTGGAAATTACCACACGTTAGATTTGATTCGGGAATTAACATGTTCAAGAGATTGTAATACTACAAATTCTACAGGTTTGTCTACTTTGTATCTAAATTTACAATTTGGGTTTAAACTAGTGAAAAAGCGTGCAACGAACTATATATTTAAACTTTTAGTATACAAAAATGTATATAGTAATCTTATTTACTACCTCCAACAGCCATACTATTAAATGAAACACGCTTAAATCAGTTCAATGTATTTTTATTATGATTTTGACGAAGCAGCCTGTATAGGATGCGACATGTCAAAAAAGTTATAAAAAACGTCTTTTGAACCCGTTTAAGTGTGTTTCATGTTATGCCTGATGTGTGTGAAAACATAAGAAACAAATAAGTCATAACTATGCTTAAGACTCATATTTTGGTAAGGCTTAGGAAATCATGTTTTTCTACTTTCCTATAAAATTTATTGGAAGTCCCTTACTGGGTTTTGATTTGAGACAGCCGCATGCTTTTATGGCCGTTGATCCCGGCAACATAATTTATTATGTATTCGTTAACACCCACGAAAGAAGGCATGTGCTTCAGTAGTGGGTACATTAATAGGCTGATGATGATGATGATCAAAGATAAAACGAATTAAGATCATGAAGATAGAATGAACTAAAAGCTAATAATGGAGGTCTTCTGCAGAGAAACTTCAACAATCGATTCAGTTGTGTTCATTATAGTCTTTATTTGCATTCATGCATTAAATGTAGGCTAATAACTTTTTTTTATCTATTTACTACTAACTAGAAAAAATCACTCACTTGAAACACTCTGATGCATTCATTTTATTCTCATAACCGCGCTGAAATAAAAAAAATCATGAAGATACTAGTGTGTGTAAAAATTTGTTTCTCTCAAAGTATAACTACTGGGACAAAACCTATCTTATATCCTTTCACGAGGCTCAAACTTCTCTATATCAAATTTTAACTCAATTGGTTCAGTAGTTTAAGCATGAAGTGTTTACATACAGACACACTTCCGCATTTATAATACAAGTATATATATATATATATATATATATATTTATTTATTTCAGGAAATCTACAGCATTGTCTTTTTCTAGGTAGATTTATAGTATTTTCGTATACTAATGCCAATTACAGTTTTCCTGGTAAAATATTTAGTTATTACGTCACATTTTTAGGTCTATCTATAAAGTGTATTCAAAGATGTTTGCAACAATAATTTAATAGAAGATTGTAAATTGTTACAAAAAGATTTGAAGAACTTGTAAAACTATTGCAACCATAACACACTTAAATTGAACACAGATAAATGAGCAGTAATAACTTTTGTACGGAAGAAACTGTCAATTGAATATAACTATAAAATGCCAATTGAATATAACTAATTCTATTCTCACAAAACGACCGAGATGAGTGCAATGAGGGGATTGGATATATTTTGCCTTTCTTACAATCAATTTAGAAATGCATGCTATAAGGTTGTTTACCCTAACACAGTATTTTTTGTCACACCATAAATTTTTACTTATCATGATCTTTATTGTATTCACATAACTAAATTGTACGTAATTTTAAGTAAATTATGCAAGTGTATAAATATTTCAGTCTGTGGAATCTTAACCGGTTTATTGTAAAGTAATAAGTGTGACTTAATTAAATTATGTACAATTGGATGTTTCCCAAATGAAAATAAATGAATAATTACGATTCACAAGGTATTTGCCACTCATGTGACCACATCACAGTAAAACAGCCACATGGCGAAAACTGAAAACGCTCACGGCGTGTTGTGGCAATCACAGAAATACAACATGTACTGTGTTCGGTGTACGTTTTTCACAAAAATACCACATGTATTTCTGTGATGTTAAGTGAAAGTGGAGTTCAATCGTTCAGGACTTAGTTTAGTTTATCAATCTTCAGATTAATGATACGACAACAATGTGCTGCTCCAGCCATCCTCACTTTGTCGCGCTCGTACTTTGTGTTGTTTTAAACTGGATTTATCTATTAAAATAATACTGAAACTGGATTTACCTAGTCAATTTCCGTTACAAGTGGCCTTAATTCTAATATTTACATCAAAAAAAGTGCAGCTAAGGACCAAGCACGGACTATGACAGATTGGTAATCGTCATTGTCAAATTTTGTATGTAAAATGTATGTAAGGGACCAGTTTGTTCTTATGACTGGTAGAGGCGCTGTTAGTTTTCATAGAAATTTTGACGATGCGATACGATTACATAGCTAACCAAGCTCGTGCTTGGGCCCCTGAGCTAGTGGAATGCAGACCTTAACGACGTCACAATTATGTTTATTTTGATATTCCCTGAGCAAGATCAAATTAGTTTTAATTTATACACAAACGAGGAGTAAAAAAGATTGTAGTGTTTTCCTTGTAATAGAAAAAAATGTACTTAGCTTATTTTTTTTTACCTTGGACAGAAACCGGGACGTGACATAGTATAAAAAAAGGATTTACAATCGTCAAATACGTGTGTATAAATCAAAGAAAAAAATGCTCAATTAGGTTTGTCACCACTTTACTAATGAGATGATAATGGCCCTACATAGCGTCCACCATACGAACTTTGTGATTGAAGGCTTTTATCTCAAGCCTTCGAATACATGAGTAAAGAATAAGGCACCGAAATATCTTTGATCCACATTATAACCACTTGTAATTAGAAGATCCTAAGTGCAATTACCCATTCTAAAATGAAGATACAATCTCTATTTTGGCATTTGTAAGCTAATTATATCGGGCAAGTGGGTCAGGAGTCAATTCATTCTAAAGTACACAATATCTATGATATTCACCGGCGTGATACGCAGTCGAGTGCAGTCCTTCAAAGGGAATGATCCTTTACCGATCCATATCAGGAAGGCCATCGCAAGTGCCACATACATCACATTGTATATGCAGCACAGGTATGACGTCAGCAGTTTTAAATGACCCACACCTGGAATGAAGTAGAAACAAATGAATTTTATGGATATTATAACATAACTGTACCATTGGCACGAACCATTATTGAATTCGAATAGTTTGCGAGTCCGAAATGGCAGTGTCAAATTTTGTATGGAAACTTGAACAGCAGTGCCATTACGGACGTAACGATAACTAAAAATCAGTACACATTTGACAATGACATTTCGCATTCGCAAACTATTCGAATTCGATATTGGTTCGTGCTAAGGGTACAGTATCCCTAGCACGAACCATTATCGAATTCGAATAGTTTACGATTGTAAAATGTCAATGTCAAATATTTGTTTACTAACATCAGGTGTGGTGGAGTCATTTGTCGAACTTATTTATTAAAAATAAACTAAATTACATTAAATGTATTTGACGTAAATAGACTAACTACACGGGCTAACTCGTTGCCACAAGGTGTTAATAGAAAAAAATGGTTGCCTGTAAAGTCGGTTTTACGGGCGAAGATTTTACGTGACAACGTCTTTTTCTCGGTAGAATATTTATTGATATGAATATAATTAAATTGCACAATAGGAACAAGGAATTGAATGAAAATAAGAATTGCACAAATTTTAACTATAGAAATATATTTTGTTTACTAAAACATTGTACATGTAAACTTAAACTTAACACGAGAGACTCATCGTAACGTTACCGAGCGTTACACTTTTTCATAAGTGACTCCCAGCCGCAACCTAATTTAAGACGTTGTCACGTCAAAAACATAAACAGTACGTTTAGCGCGATGTTAATTTACTTTCCAAATAGTAACGTCTAATACGTAACTGTTACTTTTGCGAAGTGTAGGGCAATCTTGAACAGATGATCATATTCTATTTTCATGTTTTAGCATGAAACTTATATATTCACAAAATGTAAATAATTTTGAGGTGATGATATTAATTTGATCACACATAGGCAAGTCCATCAATGCCTAGTTGTGGCCAAGGCCTGTATAGTAATTTTCTCAAACAATGCGCGAGAATCAAAACTATGCAGGACTTAAAAAAAACCAATAACGTGCAACGAACAACTATAACTTTGTGGCGGCGACATGTACATGCTCCCCACATATATATGTGAAGGAATATGTGGATGTAACTAACATGGAGGAAATAATCTAACGCCTACTCAAGAGATGGCGTTACCGGCGCTGCGCTCACATAGTAAGGAAGCCTAAATCGCGCAAGTAAAATTCGGAGGCTAACACTCCATATATACGATGTCGGACCAACATCAAGTGGGATGCGGCCCCCAAGCTACCATCACCCAGCTCGGAGGAAGATCTTCCCCTTTGGCGTTCCTACAACTAAAATATTGCTATGAAGTCATGCAGAGTAAATTTGACATACCTCTTAACATTAGAACTGCTCTCTAAACACCCACGGCGTCTTGTGTGACTCTGCTATTTCACAGCCAACACAGTTGGCAGGCCTACCACCAGCAGCCAGAACAAGTAGACCACATTACATACCTCTAACATTGGAACTTGTTTCCAAACACCCACGACGTTTTGCTGACTTAGCTGCTCCATCGCCAACTGCAGCAGCACAGTTGGCAGGCCGACCATAAGCAGCCAGAAGTAGTAGACTACCAGGTAAGGCGCGGCGCAATAGCGGAACTAATATTGCCATCAATGAAGTCATGCAGAGTAAATATTACGTACCCCTTAACATTGGAACTGCTCTCCAGACACCCACGGCGTCTTGCTGACTTAGCTGCCCCATCGCCAACTGCAGCAGCACAGTTGGCAGGCCGACCACAAGCAGCCAGAACCAGTAGACTACCAGGTAAGGCGCGGCGCTATAGCGGAACTAATATTGCCATCAATGAAGTCATGCAGAGTAAATTATACATACCTCTTAACATTGGAACTTCTCTCCAGACATCCACGGCGTCTTGATGACTTAGTTGCTCCATCGCCAACTGCAGCAGCACAGTTGGCAGACAACCATGAGCAGCCACAATGAGTAGACTACAAGGTAAGGTATGGCTCCACAGCGGAACTAATATTGCTATCAATGAAGTCATGCAGAGTAAATTTTACGTACCTCTTAACATTGGAACTGCTCTCCAGACACCCACAGCGTCTTGCTGACTTAGCTGCCCCATCGCCAATTGCAGCAGTACTGTTGGTAGGCCGACCACCAGCAGCCAGAACGAGTAGACTACCAGGAAAGGTACGGCTCCATACCGGAATGCCTCCCGAGGGAGACGCGATGAGTTGAAGAGGGATAGCGATACTGCTACCGTGCATAGTTGCGTTTTGATACAGTCACACACCAGCTTTGCCGTCTGAAAGTTTAAAGTGAAGTTTTAAAGAGGTGCACCATCGCTTTAACTAGAAATATTTGGGGATTAATAATATGCGGAATTATCCTCCGCCTTGCTGAAGATGGTGGCATAAAAGCAAATTTAATATAGTGCTGTATTCCTGAAATAAGTAAGAATCAATAGGCTATACTTTGCGGCTAATAATTAAGGCGGTCCATATATTTATTTTCATATACATCTTATCCCGTTTTTTCAAGGTTTCACCTTTCGATGGCAAAAAATTCAGAGCTTTCTTATTTTAATACAATCTACGCAAATCCGCAAATCCTTGCGAGTCTATCGAATAATCTATACTTTTATACTTATAAATATAATAAAGCTGAAGATTTTGTTTGGTGGAACACGTTGATTTCAGTGCATTTAACGAGAGAGATTAGAAGCTATATAACATAACGGTACAAGTACAACTAATAAGAGCGGAGTACCAATAAAGAATGCTGCAGAAACGGGGAAAAATATTCAATTTGAGAGCTTTCGTTGCGTGCGCAGCGTAAACTGCGGCTAATTAGTGTGTGTAAGAAATTATGTTTATTTCTTTTTTATATTCAATCTATCATGTAGGAATGCTGCTGATTCCAGCTGCATCTGCAGTGCTTTCCCATATTGGGATTATGTTTGGAGGCTTTTCATGGGGAAGGCTTGTACTGATCCCACAATAAAAAATGAAAAGGTTTCCTGCGATTTCTCCTTTTGAATAATACGTAGATAAAATAAACAAAAGAATAAAACTGTGTCCTGTCCAAGGCGAATCAAGGAAGATTTATTTGTTACCAATTACTTATATATAAAACACTGACACGAAAGTTTAGCACGATTCATATTGGTACAGCGCCATCTAGTGGCAAATGTTATAACTACTATTAGTATAATATATTTTTAAGGCTTATTCGAACATACGGTTTGATCTATACTCATCAATAGTCTGAGTAACATGAGTTTTTTTTTTAATTTTTGATGGAATTTAATGTTTTTTTTAAATAACAAAGATTTATGAGAGACTTAAGCAAGAAGAGCAAAAAGACCTTTGAATAAATTAAACATTTTGTAACGTTAATACAAAATGAAAATGACAACTGTTAATACTTGCAGTTAGCTTAAATTATGCAAGTTGGTTATACGTATTTGATGAGTTTACATAACAGTATCGCATTTCTATCGACTTTACTAAATACAAATGGGGAAATTTATGTGAACTACTAAATAAATGCTAGTAAAAACAGAAACATCGAACTAAATTCACAAATAAAAAATCCTATATATCAAACCAGCATCGGCAGAAAAAAAAATGTTTTTACAATCTGTTATAGAACATCGGGATAGGCTTCTGTGTGATACATTGCATTCACACTATTTGTTTTGGTATCGTAACCGGGGAATGCGTGAGTGTGTATGTGTGTGCGTGTATAAGCCAGGACGTTTTGAAAACACTGGCGTGAATAACGCCACATGATCTATTGTTTTGAAATAGCGCCAACCAACGGGGGAAAACGCTGTATTACGGGTACGTACGTCGATAACAAAACGCGTCGGGAGGTATCAAATAGCACTCACTGTAATAAAGACTGGTATTCCTCATCCACAAACAATAACTAAGCCTTTTATTTCATAAATATTTTATTTGGATAGACAAAGAAAAAAGCCTGCAGCCAAAACAGCTTTTTAAGTGTGTACTGCTTATTGCCTACAATAAGAGAAGGAGAGAGATAGGAGGTTACAGGAGCTATATTTAAAACGTCCTATGTGTAGACGCCTAATTGCCGCCTGAATATACATATACCTATTCTTCATTCTTCCGAATATTTAAGATATTTATAATTTTAATTTTTTAAGCATGTAACTAGTCGATGTTTAAATCCAAAGAAAATATTACTAGAAATAATTCCACGTGGTCCAGTCAGCAGACGGGATTCGAACCTGCACCCTTCGCTATCCAGGCGAATGCACTGACCAAATAAAATCAAAAATCAAAGTCAAATTCTTTCGACCCTTTCTTAAGCTGCAAGGCAGCGCCATCTCTTCGCATTGTAGATAGATAACCCACAATGTCAAATGTGTGGGTGTGGGTAAAGAAATCAATCACTAAACTAAATTAAGAATGCAGACCATGGGTTACAAAAAATAACACAATCTAATAACACCAATTGAGAAGAGTAAAAAACAGTACACAATTTAATTTAAAAAAATACTGCCTAAGTTATTATATAAATTGAGTAGGAATCCAATTCAAATAAATGCTTAACTCTAATCATTAATTGAGTTAAGAACTCAGAAGTTATAAAGCATTAGAATTAAAAAAAAATGTGCACGGAACACACATCTGAAGAGAAGTGAAACTTCTTTACTGAAATAACCTAACATTAGGCGGTACATACGGCATAAGGGAATGGAGCAGCGCACACATCACTCATATATGTATTATATGTATCTACTAGCGGCCCGCCCTCGCTTCGCTTCGGTGTAGAGCTGAAGTGTAGACTACAGTTTTTGTTCTCAGGCTTGTATTATACACAATGACATTCATCTATGATTCTTCTTATACCTGCATGCAAAGTCTCAGCCCGATCGGTTTAAAATTGACAAAGTTTCATACAAACTTTCATTCCCTATTTTATCCCCTTGGGGTAGAATTGATCAAAATCCTTTCTTAAAGAATGCCTACGTCATAACATCTACCTGCATGCCAAATTTTAGCCCGATCCGTCCAGTGGTTTGAGCTGTGCGTTGATAGATCACTATAGCAGTCAGTCATCTTTGAGTTTTATATATATAATTGTCGCGTGTGATACACACACATTTATATATATAGTCGTGTGATGCTCGTGATGTGATGAATTTTCATTTCATCTTTTCCTTAGAAATTTTCCATATACACCCTGCCCGAAAAGAGTTTCACTTCCAAAAATTTGTTGCAATAAAATTCAATAAAAGTTCACGTTCAATAATGATGTAACGATAAAGATGGCTGGCCAGTCCAGGCAAGGTTGCAATGTGAACAGACGAAACAGCTGTTTTGCACCACTGAGCTGCAGAAACCGTTTTTGCGTAGCAATTACGTTTTCAATGTAATACAAGTACTTATCTATCTACTTGTCGAAGATTATGACGGCTGCGGATAATGTTTGGAGATGTTTCCGACAAGCTATGCATTTTTTATTGAAATCGTTTTGAAGAATTACCTACGCTTCTTTTTTGTTGACTCTTTTGTTTTATTTTTAAATGGCATTCGAACACAGTGATGTTAATAAGGGATGACTTTGATTTTTACAAAATTGCCTCTCGATTTGTGGCTCAATTAAACTTGGTTGTTAGCCTGAATACGTTTGCCAATGGAATTCGGCTAAACGACTTAGTGTAAATGAATGGAGTCGAGTAAAATATACAGATTGTTGGTTACCTATAATGCGAAAAATGGCTAGAGGAATTTCGACGCGGTTCATGAGGGCCGCGGTAGCATAATTGGTCAGTGCATTCGCCCGGATTGCGAAGGGTGCGGGTTCGAGTCCCGTCTGCTACCTGGTCCGCATGGAATTTTTTCTAGTTATATTTTCTTTAAAATATACAGAGTTTTTTTACATCCTTTGCTTAAAAAATATAATAATGAATATAGTACTTTTTAAGTCTCTATCAGTCTCGCTCGAATCATAATCGGGTATATATAGTATTGTTATAGCATCGGTATTGCGTGCTAAGCGTTTTCACTATCGGGCTGGTTGGTATTTATTATCATTTCATTTCCTTCCATTTTCTTCACTGTATCGTTATGTAATGGTACACTACTATGAATACAAAAGTCTATTAATTTCGTACGAGCGTTATGAATATTTATTTTTACAATAAGTAATCTTACTGTGATTTCAAAGGAAATGGAGATAGTCCCAAGGTGAAAAATAATAAAATTGTTATCTTTACCAGTATTGTTTATTGATTATATTATTACCGGTCGCTTACAAACAATATCAATAGTTGGCATAATTTAAAGTATGCTTTCATTGCTATCGAATTACTTTACTGCAATTTAATAAGTAATATTTCAATCTACATTATACCTATTTTGTAGTTTTAAGTAAAAAGTTGAGAAGGAAAAATTTCTGCCATAGGCATAATCTCCTTCAGTACCATCTATTTTCTAGATATTTTACTAGTGAAAAATCAATTAACATGTATTTATGGAGTATTACATACACCAACCATATAACGTCAAACTAACTTTCTTTGTAGGAATCTCCATCCAAATACTAACATCGAACTTTGTAGAGTCCAATACTTAGGTACTTTAAAGTTTCCACATATTGTCCAGTTGCGTAGATGTTTCAGACAAAAAACTAATTTACGTAAATTTTACATCACAATATCCGCTAAATCAACCTTCTACTTTGTAACGTGGTATATTATTTTTTACGTGCTTCGCATGATTTCATTAAAGAGTGATTTTTAGTTTTTAATAGGTATGTACCACGGAACAAATACATTAGTTTCGTATGCTATATCAAATAAAAATTCGTAAACATTTAAATTTATCTACACAAAAAACATGGATTTTTGAAATGAAAACTTCTTTAGTACAATTTTTTGTAATGGGTAAAAAAATGTAAACTCGCGTCGGACACGTGGCCTGATCGCGTCAGAACACGTGATCTAATCCAAAATTCGTAAGAGGGCATACCCTAGACCATGCGCTTCTGGCTTCTGCGAGGTGAGTCAACTCCACTACGACCAAAGAAGGGCATAATATTTTATTAAAGAGTTCGGCTGTACCGTATGCAGAATGCAGAAAAGCGGGAAGGACAGTGTGGGAAATATGACGAGTACCAAGACCTTCGAAACGAACAGGGAAAGAGACTGCTTCCAAGCATTATCGGTAAATGAGCAATTAAGAATTTCAGAGAGTGTCTCCCTGAGCGAACTGTCAATAATTGACAGTTGTCCTGGAAAAAGCCAAAAATGAGTACTAAGTAAAAAATATATGAATTTTGGGGAGAAAGCGTAAAAACGAATTAAATATAAAGGCTATTTGGGGATGAATTTTAATATTTTTTCGGAGGACTGCTGGTATTTTGAAATTTGTTTAATAATAATAATAGGAATGGCATCATCATAAATCGGGGCGGACCTAGGAGACGGAGTGATTTAGTTTCAAGAATTTTCATTTTAAGAGCTAAAGCTAAAAATTTGGTTATGTGTTGTAAATGTTCAAATGAGAATTTTGATTCTTGAATGAAAAGCTCTCTCGATATTTCTAAATACTTGCTTAAAATAAAAATAGTTTATTAGTTAATGTGTAACATATTTGATGTAAGATTTATAACCTTCCATATATGTTTCAGGACATATAGAAGATAACTATGGTGGTGGGATAAAGGGGAAGAATCTCCTTATTTGTCACTCTTGTAAAAAGTTATGTGGCATTGGCAACCTCTATTACTCTACATAGAATATTAATAGCGCGAATGTAGTTATGTGGTGACAACAATATAACAAGAAGTAATAATTTATGTCAGTAACAATTTGAAATGTATGTGATTTAATTCACGTTCGTGTTGCAAACACTTTAGGTCAATGTCTTAAATGATTTTCCAAACAAATCGTGTTGAAGAAGTTATTTCAATCTGTCATGAAAGTTTTGATGTGATATAGCGTGTTCACGTTTTCACGAACTAGAATTATTTCGATTGTAGCATGACTCTGTCATAGCATATTATTTAATAGATTTCAGTACGAGACAATAATGTCGTATAAAACGATACCATCTTGAGAACTGCTTCAATACTGGCCTGGGGGATAAATTAATAAAATTATTAACTGCATGAGTAGTGAAATTAATTTCATGGATAGTTTGACAAATTTAGCATGCGAAGGTTTATCAGCCTATTGCTACTGTTGTCTGAAAATAATTCTCAATTGATGGAATTAAAATAATAATTTATATTAGAATATAAAACATTTTTGCGTATGAGACACATCCTTTTATTTTCATTTTATTCTTTTTCAGGACCATGGATCGTCGAATAACTAATGTTTATTGAAACTATGATTGGTAAAAATAATATTGCAGTAATTATGGCAAGAAAAAGATTTAGTACATAAGAACAATGGCAGAAACCTCAAACTGACATCATTAGCCTATTAATGTCCACACTGCTGGGGCTCAGGCCTTCCCTATGGATGGAATAAGGAGATTGGGCCATGACCCACCACGCAGGCTTAGTGAGGATTGGCGGGTGCTAAAGACTGCAGATGCAGCTGGGACCAACAGGTTAACATGCCTTCCAAAGGACGGAGGAATTCGAGATAGAATATTTTTGGTCAGCCATCCAATGACCGACTACTGCGAAAATTGCTCATCTTCAACGATCGCAGCCGAATGCTCTAACCACCAGCGCCATCAAACTCCTCAAAATATCATCTCATGCTGAAAATAAAACTCCCAGCTTACTGTTATGTTGGAAAGACATCAATTACTATAATTATTTCACCCCACGCCCCTGTGAATGTAGCGGCCAAGCCATATATTTTGACTAAGGTGTGATGTATGTGATGTTAGGCCTTATGGAGTAAGGGCGTGTAGAATTGAAGAAGAAGCTTGGCTCTACATGAGATCTGATAATTTTTTGACAGTGCGAGTCATACGGTCTTGTCTTTGCAACATTGAAGGTGAAAATGTTTTGGTGGAATGCTTTTATTCTGTGTGAATGAGCAAATACAGAATTTTGTTTTGTAAACTCTGCAGCGACAAAAAATCTAGAACATCTTTAGGTGGTCACTGAATTCTGCAAAGCCAATCATGGCGAGTCATATAAGACAAACCTGAAATCGCAGCATACGAGCAGAGGTGTATGGGAAACGGAGAGACTGATGGAATGCGAAGCTCATGATCACGACGGATGTCTACAGCGGATGCCCTCTGCTCCACCCACGAAACATAGAATCCAAACAACAATAGTACCATATTACTAGGTGTAACGGGTTTTTAAAGTAAAATTTTTAATTATATCACCACGAACATTTTATTCATCTTAAGCATTTGGCAATAGAATTGTTGTTATAAAATTAGACCTTATCAACGAGCAGCGGTGGTTCAGTGGTAGAAATCTCGACTGCTACGCGAGCGGCCCGGGTTCGATTCACAGCCGAGGAAAGGAATTTTGTTATTATTTATTTTTTTACTACTAAAACTAGCGTTAATGAGCATGAACTTTGGGGTATTGTTCATTGCCTTCTATATTTAATAAGGCACGCAATATATTGCAATAAGTTTTTAGACTTCGTTTAAGAAATATTAATTTCTGATATTAGTGTGGTAAGTTAGTTATTACAAACGAGTAGACAAATGTAAGACCGAGACAGACAAAGTCGAGGGTTTACCATAGTCACGAGTTTGTAAATACCAATTAATTTTTTTTTCCAATTCAAAATTCAAAATTTTTCTAACACATTTGGGAGAAGATAGTATAATTTTTAAGTAATGAAGTAAACTTTTTCTTAGATGAAAAAGACATACCTACATTTCCAAATGGTGCCACGCGCGGGTGGTGAAAATTATAACTATTTGTATAGTCTATTTTTCTTAGTATTAAAGTAGGACAAAAGACTTCCAAGGAGGTTCAACAGAAATTTAAAAAAAAAAATGGTTGCCTGTAAAGTCGGTTTTACGGGCGAAGATTTTACGTGACAACGTCTTTTTCTCGGTAGAATATTTATTGATATGAATATAATTAAATTGCACAATAGGAACAAGGAATTGAATGAAAATAAGAATTGCACAAATTTTAACTATAGAAATATATTTTGTTTACTAAAACATTGTACATGTAAACTTAAACTTAACACGAGAGACTCATCGTAACGTTACCGAGCGTTACACTTTTTCATAAGTGACTCCCAGCCGCAACCTAATTTAAGACGTTGTCACGTCAAAATCGTAAAGGATACGCATTGCGCCATGTAATGGAGCGTGCAGTAAAACATTTTACAGCACGATTCCGTTGTATGGTCGGAATTTAGAAATTTCGAACAATGTATACAACCTCCGTAAATGCATTTTTGAGCGGATGTGTTAAAAATGATTTTGCTAAACTGTCCAAATGTGTATGCTTGTCGATACTTATACAAGACACACCATATATTATTCTCCCTGAAATGGTTATGAGCAATACGCATAAAAAAATCATTAGGACGACATAATATGTATTGCTTACTTCTCTAATTTACATTCGTTACGGCCTTGGGGACACTTCTTGTCCGCCCTATTGTCATATGGCTGTAAATTTTACGAGAAAAATTTGAATAAAGTAAGTTTAAGGCTTTAATAACTAATTTCATGTTACGTTTGTATACATTTGACTGACACGTAGCCAATTTTTTATTCATTGTATATTAATATGAGTTCCAGTTGACTAAGTATTTTAAAATATAAATTAATTTGTTTATGTTCTTGTAAATATCATAACAAACACTATTTAATTTGAAACAAGATTTATGATCGGTGGCTTACTGAATATTATTCATCATCATCATCAGCCTATTAATGTCCCCACTGCTGGGGCACAGACCTTCCCTATGGATGGAATAGGGAGATTGGGCCATGACCCACCACGCGGGCCCAGTGCGGATTGGCGGGTGCTAACGACTGCAGCTGCAGCCGGGACCAACGGCTTAACGTACCTTTCGAAGCACGGAGGAACTAGAGATAGAAGATTTTTGGTCACCCATCCAATCCACTGCGAAAGTTGCTTAACTTCAACGATCGCAGCCGAACGCGCTAACCACCCTCACAATCGAGCTCCTCTTATAAGTTATTATAAAAGCTTTTGTTTGTTTGCTCTTATGAGTCTATTTGCTGTCCGATATTCAACCTTAGGTGGATCCCAAACTAAATAACGTGACTGCAAATTATATTATTCTTATTTTATTTTATGTATAAGCTTAGCGATATTTTTCATAACATAAAAAAAATAAAATCCTGGTTCACAATGTCTTAGAGAAATTGAGACTATTCAGTAATAACAGATTACTTAATAGGCTTAATTTACCGTAGACTTTTTTATATAACTTCTATTTATGGAACACCGGGCCTTACTTACTTATTTTATTTATCCTATATTCCTATCCTTCTTCAAAACTGACTATTAATCATTATATTTATTTATAAGTAAATTACATCATTATCCAAACGCAGCTAATATTAGCTACTAAGCTATTAACCGGAGAAATATTGTGTCTAGTCAATGTTCATTTGTTTGATTTAATTTCAGACAGATCTCGTAGTAAGTGAGAACCCGACCAAGTACGAATAGGACTTACACACAAGAGGTTCCGCGCTTACAAACGAATTGTACGATGATATTTCTATGGTTGCTCATTTTCATTCTTGAAATTATTTTGATACTAGCTGTGCCCCGCGGTGTTACCCGCGGTTAATTAGGGATATTTTCCCGCAGTAAAACGTAGCCTGTGTGTTAATCCGGGGTGTCAGCTAACTCCATACCAAATTTTATTTTAATCGCTCCGGCCATTTAGACGTGAAAAAGTAACGAACATAAATACTCACAAACTTTCGCCTATATAATATTAGTATGATACTACTATTCTTATAACCTCTGCCCCGCGGTGTTACCTGCGGTTAATTAGGGATATTTTCCCGCAGTAAAACGTAGCCTGTGTGTTAATCCGGGGTGTCAGCTAACTCCATACCAAATTTTATTTCAATCGCTCCGGCCATTTAGACGTGAAGATTTAACAAACATACACAGTCACAAACTTTCGCCTATATAATATTAGTATGATACTACCATTCTTAGGTCCTTATTATCCTCCTATTCCTAGCTCCTTTCTTATTTTTAATTTATATTAATGACTTACCTTACTATGTAAGAGATTACCATGAGATAGTATTGTTTGCGGATGATACATCACTTTTATTTCAACTCTAACGCAAAAAAAAAAACATGTTAGATCAAATGCAATCACATTTTAATAAATATAATATACTTCACTGTAAACAATTTGGTTTTACACGGGGTCATTCAACAACCGATGCCGGTGTTGAACTTATACAACAAATTTTTGACGCCTGCGAGTTCTCGCAGGACGCTCTAGGTGTGTTTTGCGACTTGTCCAAGGCTTTTGATTGCGTTTTTCATGAAACATTACTCAGGAAACTCCACCACTATGGATTTAGAGATACTGATCTGGATCTTATTGCATCATACCTGAGGGATAGGATTCAGAGGGTTGACATTAATGGTAATAAGTCTCCGGGTTCGCCGGTTAAGATGGGTGTTCCGCAGGGCTCAATCCTAGGTCCTTTCTTATTTTTAATTTATATTAATGAATTACCTTACTATGTAAGAGATAACCATGAGATAGTATTGTTTGCGGATGATACATCACTTTTATTTAAACTCAAACGCAATGAAAAAGTTATTGACGACGTGAACAATTGTATCTCTAAGGTAGTCCACTGGTTCAATGTTAACAATTTATTACTTAATGAAGGAAAAACGAAATGTATGAAATTTGTATTACCTAATGTAAAACAGGTAAAAACCAGTGTGAATGTAAAAGATAGGAATGTGGGCCTTGTAGACACCACAGTATTCTTAGGGATAACTTTAGATTCTAAGCTTCAATGGGGCCCACATATTGATAAATTGTCAAATAGACTTAGCTCTGCAGCATATGCCAAAATGAAGATACGCCAATTAACGGATGTAGATACGGCCAGATTAGTGTACTTTAGTTATTTCCATAGTGTAATGTCGTACGGAATTTTATTGTGGGGAAATGCCGCCGACATTCAAACTATTTTTGTGCTGCAGAAGAGAGCTATTTGATCAATTTATAATCTTAAAGTTAAAGAATCATAAAGAGATAAGTTTAAAGAATTTGGAATAATGACGGTCGCATCACAATACATATACGAAAATTTATTACTTGTAAGAAAAAATATTAATTTGTTTCTTAAAAACAGTGATGTTCACACAATTAATACAAGAAACAAAAATAAACTAACTTTACCTGCTACTAGGCTTCACAAAATTAATAATTCATTTAAAGGTCTGTGTGTTCGATTATACAATAAAGTCCCAAGCAATATCCAAGAGTTAGCCATAAATAAATTTAAAGATATTATAAAAAAAACACATTAAAAAAGCTTATTACAAAGTGTCTGATTATATTACAGACAAAAATGCTTGGGTTTGAACTGTTCCAATCATTCCAACAGGTTTTCTATATTAAATAAATCATAATTGTATTGACGTTGTAACAACATAATGATTTGTAAATGTTGTTACATTAGACTTTTAATGTTGTGGAGTTTTTTTCGCTCGTTTTTCTCCGCAGCTAAAAAATATGTCCATAACGAGTGGTAGGGAAAAAAAATTTTTGGACGATTCAAAAGAGTTATACTATACATCCAATTTGAATAAAGATATATTGATTTCTGATTTCTTACAACCCCTGCCCCGCTGTGTTACCCGCGGTTAATTAGGGATATTTTCTCACAGTAAAACGTAGCCTATGTGTTATTCCGGGGTGTCAGCTAACTCCATACCAAATTTTATTAAAATCGCTCCAGCCGTTTAGACGTGAAGAAGTAACAAACATACACACTCACAAACTTTCACCTATATAATATAAGTATGAAGTATGATACTACCATTCTTACAACCCCTGCCCCGCTGTGTTACCCGCGGTTAATTAGGGATATTTTCTCACAGTAAAACGTAGCCTATGTGTTAATCCGGGGTGTCAGCTAACTTCATACCAAATTTTATTAAAATCGCTCCAGCCGTTTAGACGTGAAGAAGTAACAAACTTACACACTCACAAACTTTCACCTATATAATATAAGTATGATACTACCATTCTTACAACCCCTGACCCGCGCTGTTACCCGCG